TCCCAACAATATTTATTAATTAATTTTTTATTCTTTAACAACCTGATGAAATGTTTCGTCAGACGAATTCCTGGTCTTCTCGATAGATTTATAAATCTACCTTTTGTTCCCCGAAGGCGGAAGATGTGAATGGAAATAAAATATCCGATTCTGCACAAACCAGTTTTGGTATTAATGTATTTCGCATAACACTGGCATCTTCTCGACGGTTTTTCGATAATTTATGGACAAAACGAGTGATGAAATGAGAACGAAAAAATTCTGCCTAGATATTTTGGAATATTATATTCAAGTCTTTGATGAATATTCATCGCCTCTGCATAGATATATCCAGATATTTTTTCGGAGTTACGATGCACATCTCCAAGATTCCTTCAAAAGGCTGAAGCTATTAAATTTCACCATAAAATTGTAATGACCATTGTTTACGACATGTCCATCCGAACTTATAGAAACTCTGAATTGTGCTACTCAAAATATATATTCCAACAATAATTGAATCGAATGAAATATTTCAAAAAATATTGACAAATCTTCAAACATCGATTGAAATAAAATTTTCATTGGCACTTTTTCTATGACTCATTCGTTAAATACAAAATTAAAAATGCGTAAGTGTATCTCATCCATTGATAACATGAATGAACGATTTTACACTCGATTACGCGGCAATAAAATCCCGTGAAAAATCGTCACAGGGAAAAACCCCAAAGTGCTACAAAGAGCGATTTAAAAAACAGCTCAGGAGGGATAAGACGCAATGAGAGTAAAATAAATAGTAAAAGTGCAGAGTGCTGGAGTGAAGGAAAGCCAGTGGCCGAGAATTGGCCGACGATTGGCGGAAGATCCACGTGCGACCACCACCTCCACCTGGGAAGTCGGTCGCCCAGGGGTGGGGTAACAACTCCCGATATTTTTCAAAGTACCACAAACCGTGTCACCACACTTTACCACAGTATCGCAAACTGAGAGGATCAAATTATTAATAATAAACAAAGAGCCGAATCAATACCGGCGAAAATATCCATTTGAAATTTTGGACTGACGGTTTTATCGCCTGGAGACTTCAACGCGTGGTGATACACCAAAAACCGCGGATGACGAATTATCGTGCAGTGCATTTTCACCGATCGAGATTTATTTATTAATCTACAATTATTATTTTATATTTTTTTGTGGAAGAGTGCATTGTGTTAGAGACTTGACGAGATGAAGGACTGCATTTCTATCTGGAGTAGATTAGCCGGCAGGAGTTTTTCTCCTGTCAGCACAAATTCTCCACCTGCATCCACTGATACTGAGGATTACTCTGATAACGATCCTAGCAGTCTTCAGTCAAAATCGGCCATTGTTGTCAACCGATTTTTCAATGCCGCATTACCTGTGCATGGGGATGGCAGGCGGAAATGGCCGAGGAGTGAGTTTAGATTTCTCTTTGTCTTATTTTTATCGACTGTCCGCCAGTCTCTCAACTAAATTTCATTATTCCTCCAATTATTATTATCCACCGATTCATATAAAAAATATATCGATCGATAAATAAAAAATATGTACGAAAAGTCATTGTTCTATCGTATTTTTTAATTAATATAATATTAATTTATGTTTTTGAGTCCTCGATGAAATGTAAAGTTGTGGAAAATGTTGGGATAAATTTAGATGAAATTTAATGGACAATGACTAAAAATAAAAATGCAACGTATTTCTGTTCTGGAAATCCGGTTTCGAATTATCTAGAATTTATCCCTGAGACCGACAATATCCGATGATTCCTCTTATTTACACCCCTGAAATTAGAGGTGCCATTAAAATTTACATGCAAATATCCGATTTATTTAAATAGATTAAGAATTTGCCGAACGGGAAAAACCGAAAAAAAATGCTGTCTAAAATCCTGCAACCGAAATTCCCGCGTGCTGGGAATATTGATAAACCCACCGCATCGTTACAGTCATCATAAACACACCTATATAAATTATTCCAATGAGCTCTGGCTCAGACGTGATGAAAATTTAAATTAACAATCGGTCATACGGGAAATTCATCTTGTTATGCCATTCCCCGTCAATTGATTTTATTACTAAATCTTTAATTATGATAATCATCTCA